AACCTTCAGAACACGGCCAAAGAGCCCGAAAAACCCACAACAACCATGACAAAATTGCTTCCTGTGATTCTTGAAGGACACAAGGGGCTTTTCTGAATTTTTTAAAAATATGAACATTTGTAGGAAGTTGAGTCACATCTTCCTCTTCATCCACTTCTATTATACATGATGGCAAAGAATTAAGTACCATCAAGCAACAAGATTTACAATTCAAGTGTACATAGGATGCCCTGGATCCATTCCAGTCGGGCTTCAGGCCGCACCACGGTACAGAAACGGCATTGGTCGCCCTGTGTGATGACAGGGGGAGGCCGACAGGGGCAAACTGTCTCTGCTGGTCCTCCTCGACATCTCAGCGGCCTTTGATACCATTGACCATGGTATCCTCCTGGGGAGGCTCTCCGAGTTGGGAATAGGTGGCCTGGCATTGTCCTGGCTCCGTTCCTTCTTGGAGGACCGCCCCCAGAGAGTTCAGCTTGGGGAGAGAATCTCGGCCCCGTGGAGCCTCAATTGTGGGGTTCCACAGGGGTCGATCATCTCCCCAATGCTGTTTAACATCTATAGGAGGCCACTGGGTGGGGTCATCAGGGGGTGTGGAGCTTTGTGTCATCAGTACGTGGATGACACTCAGCTCTACATCTCCTTTTCACCAACTGCAGGAGATGCCGTTCTGTCCCTTCAGAGCTGCCTGGGGACTGTACTGCAATGGATGCAGGAGAACGGGTTGAGGCTGAACACGGACAAGACGGAGGTACTAAGGATGGGCGCCCCGACAGTTGGGGATTTGGGAAACTCCCTCTCCTTTGGGGGGGGTGACCCTGCCCGCCAAGGATGGGGTCCGCAGCTTGGGGATCCATCTGGACCCAGCGCTCACTATGGAATCCCAGGTGGCGTCTGTGGTCCGCACCGCCTTTTTTTCATTTTAGGCGGATAGCCCAGCTGGTTTCCTACCTTGATGTTGGGGCGCTCACCACCTTGGTGCATGTGCTCGTAATCTCAAGATTAGACTACTGTAATGCACTCTACGTGGGGCTACCTTTGAGGCTGCTGCGGAAACTGCAGGTGGTGCAGAATGCGGCGGCCAGATTACTCAGTGGAGGGAGAAAATACCAACATATTTCACCCACTCTGGCCGCATTGCATTGGCTGCCCATCCGATTCCGCATCGACTTCAAAGTGTTGATGCTCACATATAAAGCCCTAAACAGTTTAGGACCTTGATACTTGGCGGAACGCCTTCTCCCGCCAAGAACTACCCGTGTCACTCGCGCAAGCCAGGAGGTGAGGCTGAGGAACCTAACGCCGAGGGAGGCCCGGAAGGAGAAGACAAGAAATCAGGCCTTCTCGGCAGTGGCTCCTCGCCTCTGGAACAACCTACCTCCTAAGATTCGCATGGCTCCCTCGCTGGGTATTTTCAAGAATCAATTAAAAACATGGATGTTTAGGCAAGCCTTCCCATCAGATAATTCCTGATGCCCCTTTTTCCCTCCCTTCTCCCTCTCCTTCAGTTTTCCCCATTCTGTTTAGTATTTCTGTTATGTAAAATTGTTTTTATACGTATACTTATTGTATGACTTTTTAATGTTGTTAGCCGCCTAGAGTGGTCCTGACACGACCAGATAGGCGGGATATATATATATATACACACACACATATATATACATATACATACATACATATATATATAAAATAAATAAATAAATAGGATTGCAATTTAAATAACCCACAAAGAATACAACACATCTAAGTAAGGTCATATTATAAATGTTTCAGTACTTTTTTGGTGAGACAAGGCTTTCATATCAAATACATTTTTTAAAAAAATGCATGCATATAAATTGTTGTGCAGACTAAAATTTCAAATCCTGTGTATAATCTATAAAACATACACTACCAAAGGACTTAAAAAGAGAACCACTTACTAAATACAACATCTTATGTGTATTATCTGCCACCAAGTTGGAGCCAACTTACATGACACTAAAAGGGTTTTCAAAGTAAGATATTTAAGGAGTAATTTTAATTAGTTCCAAACCACCACCAACTCTTGTGAGTTTCCATGGCTAAAGGGGATTTGAACCTAGATCTCCCGAGTCCTTGTCTGTCACTACATCACTACATCACACTGGGTAACAACACAACATGAGTGGTGACAATCTGACTCCAAAGTTAAACAAAAACTTTAATGTGTATTACTTTAAAAATTATCAAGAGAGAATAACTAAAATTAGATATAATAAGCTTTATTTGTCACGTCCCCACTACAAAAAAAGTGTATTGCCTTTTAAATATGTTTTAATATGTTATGCACATGATATTGTTCCCAAGTTATGGAGAAAGGTTTTCAAGATTTGTGAAATATTTAATGAGTAATTTACCACCCCAATCTCCCACTGAATTACCGTGGCCAAGCAAGGATTTAAAACAACGTCTCTGGGGTCATATCCACCACACCAGATCTCTATCTTCAATTAAATTCTCTTAATTTTAGAGTTATATTGTCAAAACTGTAAATTGTTTTCCAGAAAAGAAGATGAAGCACAAGCACTGTAGCTATTCACTGTATTCAGAACTAGACATGGGATATTCCTATTCAACAGCTGAGCAAGGGGACACGTCATCCTGCCTCCTTGCGGGAGTGGTCAAGCTGCACAGGGAGGCAGGGAAGCGCCAGAACTACTTCTGCAATTGGCATGACAGGAATGATGCCGGACCTACATACCACACACCAACCATTAATTGGACCTGCCAATGGAGGTGGGAGGGACTGGACCTCTTGGGCACCTGTGGTGCAGATATTTGTATTAGTATTCCCAGGGATACATATACGAATATCTCATGTCTATTCAGAACTAAATCCTGGCTTAGTATCATCACATGCATGAACTTTAATCTTGTAGCACTTTTGTGCTTCCGTTTAGTGAAAGCAACTGTATAACATATTGCTTTGAATAAAACTGTTAACAGTAACAACAATCTCTTTGTGGTACTTACTGACAAGAACAATAATAGAAATGGTAAGTTCTTTCCCTCCTCCCCCAACATGTATTTTCAAAGTAGCTCTCTGATAATTCCATAATGAAGTTTCTACTCTACATTCCAACAGAAGTCAGAAATATTAAATACCGAAATAAGCACTACCAACTCATGACAGCAACTTTTAGTAAAGAAGCTATGTGACAGTATAAGACTGAACATTTTTCTGAAACACTTAGCATTTCATCCAATTTCACAGGCTATATATTATTATTTATTTAAATAATTTTCTTTGCCTTTCTCCTTAAAAAAGGACCCAAACAGGGTGGAGAAAAAAAATAAAAAAATCAAATTGATTAAAATCACGATTTAAAACATGACTTAAACTTAAAGATTTGGTTTTTTAGTTTGTCATTAAAAATTTCCAATTTTAAAATTTATATCATGATTTAAATCAAATCCACTCTGCAAGGCATCTTTCATCATTTAAAACACAACACTGAAAGCTAAAAACAGTAAATTATTCAAATATCAAAGAAGAATAGTACTATGTTTAAAATGTTAGGTAAAGGCCTTACAAAAACAGATTCAGAAGCTTGTGAAAGGACAGCAAAGATGAGGCCAGCCTGGCCTCCTTTGGGAGGGAGTTCAAGAGTCTGGAAGCAGCAACAGGGAAGGCCCTCTCCCATGTTCCCATCAAGAGAGTGGTAGAACTGAGAGAAAAGCCTCCTGACGATCTCAACATCTGGGCAGGCTCATAACTGAGATAACTTTGACCCAACCTTAGGTTATATAGGTTTATAGGTTAAAACTAGCACTTGTAATTGTGCTGGAAACAGATTGACAGCCAATGGAGCTGATGTAAATCTTATCATATGTAGCAAAACAAAGCACTCTAGGAAATATGCCTGCTCTGCTGTTTGACACAAATCAAGGACATCAAAATCAATCTATTTAACTACCTTGACTATCAAGGTCTAAACTACATTACTTGTTCCTAGAACAGAGTAATCAATAATGTATCAGTCCATCAACTGTGGGGACTGATTGGCAATGGCTTTCTATAGAGTCTTTCGCAGTCTGAGCATCCTGGACGGTAGCTGAGAAACTGTATGTACATTTTTTTTCATACAAAGTAACTCTGCCTCTACAATACGGCCCTTACAGATGCAGTCCACACTTCATTTTTAAAAACAAAAATCCATCAGATTCATCATTAAGGGGGGAAAAGTAGTAAGCATTAAAATCCATCAGATTCATCATTAAGGGGGAAAAAGTAGTAAGCATTTAAGACTGAACAACAGCACATTGATGGAGATGCAGGTGACTAATTAGCCCAATACAAGCCCAGAAGATACAGAAACAGTGGGGGCAGGTTAGCTAATTCTAGGCTTCCTCATTTTTCCCTTGTGCATCCTTGACTTTTTTTTAGTTTAGATTCTTTGACCCCTTGTTTGAAATATTTCAACAGACATTTCAGTCTTGAGTAAGAACTTCCCAGTTGACATGGACAATGTGACAGACTTTCAATGTTGTCTTCAGCGTGTCCTTGAATTGTTTCTTTTGTACATCACACAATCAAGCCCCCCCCCCAACTTTCCATAGAAAATACATTTTGGGAGATGGTTACCCAACATCCTAACAAAAACGGCCAGTTCAATGAAGCTGTAAATGGTTCAAGATTGTAAAGATGCCTGTCATCTGTGCTTGCTACACTGCAAGGGAGTCTATCCTCCCATTTGATGCTGAGAATTCTTCAAATACAGCTAAGTTAAAAATGAATGAACCTTTTTGTATGGCATTAATAAATAGTCCAAGTCTCCATTCCATAAAGTAGAAAGGATGCAACAAAAGCTTTGTAGATCTTCAGCTTAATAGAAAATCTGATTCTGACTTCATACAGAGGATGAAAAAGCATTCCAAAGGGTTTAGATCCATGAGGTTACGATATCAGCAAAGACAATACAGCAGGAGATAGTGCTCCCAATATATATTATCTATTGCACAAAGGGATGTTTGTATACCTTCAAAACTGGTTCCTCAAAGATAAACCTGGAGCAGGTTGATACATCACCACCATCTCATCGGTATTGATCTTCAGGCTGAAGTTGTTACAAGCTGAAAAGAACAGATCAAGACTTCTTTGAATATTCCTGCATTGAGCAGGGGGTTGGACTTGATGGCCGCACAGGCCCTTGCCAACTTCATTATTCTATGATTCTATGAAAACCCAGATGTGTGATTGCATTAAGTCATCAATAAATAAAAGCTTGTTTTACTCTGTTTGTAACAGAAAATGGATCAGAGAGGACATTTATGTATTATCATGTAATTTTTCAAATGATATGTGTGAATGCCTCAGGACACCCAATTTCCTTCATAATCTTCCACAGACTCCTCTGCACACCATGTCAAAAGCTTTAGTTAAATCAAAGAATGACTTATATGAAGTTTATATGCTCCTCTTGACACCAACGTTCCCTCTAATCTTCCACCAGCATTGAGGGGAAACCCTCCCTGTGCATGCAAAGTTCCAGCGGCAATCAGAACCAAATGAGCAACAACACTAACTGCAGAAGTACAGCCATGCAGCTTAGGGGGAACATTGCTTGACACTTTTCTTGCAGCTAACAAATGACAAAGTCCCTTGTCCCTTAACAAAAGCCGTAAAGAGTTTCTGGTAAAAGGCCTCTTTCCAAGTGCCCTATGATTCAGAAAGATTCCTGCCAGAATTTTCCCAGCAGCATTCAGGAGCGAGATGCCTCGGTGACTGTCACAAAGTTGGCGGTCGCCGTTTCTTTTGTAAAAATGTATCGTTGTTGCATTTTTGAAGTCCTGAAGATTTCACCTTCTGCCCACATTTCTTGAAATAGGTGTGTCAAGTGTTGAAGTTTATCACTACTGTTTTTTTACATATCTCTGCTGGAACTGCATCTGCCCCTGGGGCTTTTTCATGGAAAAGTTGATTAACTGTGTTTTATGTTTTTTTCCAGAGAGGAGAGAAGGGGGGCGGGGGTTCCACAAAACCGTTGAACCACCAGCAACTGGCAGCAATTTAAATCAATTTGAATTTTTTAAAAATCATTTTTTTAAATCCACGTTGATTGGCACATGCAGCAGCCTGCCAATTAACTTCTCAAAGAGTTCAAATGGTCTGTTCAAAACTTTTTGAAAAAAACTCAGCCCACCTCTGCAAAATCTTTCCATGATGAGTACTGAGTCATTGGATCCGAGAAGGGACAACATGCTCATAGGTTGGGCATCACAAATACTTTTGACTGCTTTGAGAATTTCTTAATTTCTTCATGGTTAACAACAGCCTGAACCTGACCGAAACAAATGTACAGGTAACCGCCATGTATCATGCCAAAAAGAAACAGTCATTCACATATTCAGTGTTACCAGCTTTCAAAGTATCTCCTTGTGATGAAATCACTACCACAGAAGTCTGAGGGTTTTGAGATGAGATTGTTGTCTAAAGGTTTCCACTAGCAAAAGAACAAACAGCTCATCACATTCAATGCCAGTGAATGAGACATGATGCAATGTGATTCCCACTTGCCAATATTTGGATATGAAAGATAAATAAGCTTTCAGCACAACTATAAATAACTAGCTCTCTGTAACACTGAACTATGCTGGATATCCTCAAACATGTACAATATGATGTCTAGCCACAAACTACGGGCAGAAGTAGCTACAGATTCTATAGCAGACTCAATAAAACATTAATACATTCCACATATATACTGAAAGTTTGTATATAACTGTCACATACAGCACTGATGGTACCTGTCTGTCATGGGTTTGGAGGGAAAGTTCCATCCTATGGGGAGTGGAAGGCGGGACATCAGGGGGGAGGAGCTGTACTGTATATATTTGGGGGAAGTCCTTCGTAAGAGAGCTGACGTGGAGAAGTGGAGTTGGAGTCTGTGGGTCAGACTGGGTACAACTGTTCGTCAGATAGTACATACCTGATAGGTTCAGGTTTCTATCTAGGTAGCCAGAACGGATAAGTTCAGGGTCTGTGCGTTACCTTAAAGTGTTCCGTGGGAACCAATCTGTTGTATGTGTATGATTGGGACTATCCCAAGTTCCAGTATCCTATTTACCTGATCCTTTTATTTACCCTGTTTGTTTTTTCAATAAACCTTGTTCTCTTGTTTATTAAAATCCATTCCTGGTCTGGGTGACTTGGGAGAGCGAATGGTTGGTGGCAGCATAACTACAGGGTGGGATACTCCAGTAGGTCTGGGGTTGCTACAATAACATACCTTTAAACTCAATTTTCTACAAAAAACTAAGACACAATATATATACCACACATCATCATCATCATCAAGATGACAAACATTGTGTGACACTTTAAAGACTAACTGCTATTTTTAATGTGAGCTTTCATGGACAAGTCCACTTCCTCAGACATAAACAATAAGCTATTAGTCTTCCCTATAGGCAATAACATATTTTGTGTCACGAAAAGTTTTAAAACCTTGCTTCTAAAAATGTATTACGTCTGGTACAAAAAATGATTGTTTATCATGTATGAAAGAACTCTAAAAATGCAAAATCATGAAACTATTACCACCGCTGACTGAGTAGCTCAATCCTATGGCATACATTTTTCAAAATAAAGACTGTTCCTAGATAAAAATATATTAGAAACTGTTGTAATCAAAATTATAGTTTAACACACATTTTATTAGGGCTGAACTCTAGCCATTGTTTCTGAAACCTATTAGCATGGATACAGAATTCCTATTAGTGGAATTCCGCTTACCGACTGTTCCAGCTGGAAGAAGACTCCTGTCCTCTGAAGGTGCCGGCTACAAACACTGGTGAAACGTTAGGAACAAAAAAAAATTAAGAACACAGCCAAACAGCCCGGAAAACCCACAACAACCATCGGATCCTGGCCGTGAAAGCCTTCGAGAATATGACAGACACTACTTTAGTTGATTCTTGCTTTGCCCTACTCTGGAACACTGTGGGAGACATCATGGTGGAATGCAGAAGGAAGACAGAATATGCAAAATTTGCCTTTATCCCATCCCTTCAATTGGAGTCTGTATTAAACCTCAAATTCATGCATGGCCAGAAGCCCTTCCTTTCACAGAAGGGACATTTTTGCTTTAAAACAAGATATGAAGAGAGCACACACACTTTGTTTTATGCCAATCTGAACTTTAAGGTGCTCCATTCATCTTTTAAAAAACACAGGTTTTAAAGCAAACACATGGATGATAATGAGGATGACAACGACTACGACTACTACTACTACTATTTTGCCATCACTGCATGACCAAAATTCAATATTATCACAGCAAATTCACTGTTGGGTGATAGGAGCATATCTCAACTTAATTTATGCATCCTAATATTTGTTGGAATCACAAAGTCTAAACTGGCAATCATGCAGGTGGTATGTGTAATTTTGTCAGCTGTCCACTGCAAGACCTGACATGTCCAGGTTGAGCAACTGACTATGTGATAGACAGCAAAATACAAAAACCATTTGAATTACTGCCCTTACATGTATTTCACAGTATAATTTTGGCCTATAAATCTACAAGCCACAGCATGTAGGACAATAACTGCAGGACAGAGAAATCATTATATCAACCGTATTTGGAAACAGGCTAATCATCATTCCAGAGAATCCTGTCTTTATATTTTTAGCTCTTGTACTTGTACAGAGGAACAATCACCAAGTCCTTTCTATGGTAGATCTATTCATGAACTGAATACATTTTATATATATGACAGTTCCCAATGTTTTACCCCATTCTAAGAAATAAAAGCCATACCATATAGCACTCACCAGTACAACTACAGTGGTGCCTCACACAACGATGTTAATTGGTTCCAAAAAAATCAACGTTGTGTGAAACATCGTTCTGTGAAACACCATTTCCCATAGGAATGCATTGAAAACCGGTTAATCCTTTCCAATTGGAACGGATTGCCGTCCTTGAGCGAAAATCCCCATAGGAAACATCGTTGAGTGAAACAATGTTTCCTCCATTCAAATGTATTGAAGCCGACTCAATGCATTTGAATGGCATTCCGATGTCTCTTTTCCCTCATTTAAAAGTGCCTTAAACTGTTTGAAACCTGTTTTAAATGCTTGGCATCGATAGTCCAGCTTGTGAAACGTACGCAAACTTAATTTGGTGTTGTTCTGAGGCGTCCTTAATTTTTGGTGATTTTTTGTTTTCTCCATTGAAAGCGATTGGACAGACCATTCAATGGCTTTCAATGGAGAAAACAAAAAATCACCAAAAATTAAGGACGCCTCAGAACAACACCAAATTAAGTTTGCATAGGTTTCAGGAGGTGGGCTAACGATTGCAAGCATTTAAAACACTTTTCAAACAGTTTAAGGCACTTTTACAGGAGCGAAAAGGGACTTCGCAAACCCATTCAAATGCATTGAGTCGGCTTCAATGCATTTCAATTGGGGAACCGCGTTTCCCTCAACGATGTTTCCTATGGGGATTTTCGCTTAAGGACGGCAATCCGTTCCAATTGGAACAGATTAACCGGTTTTCAATGCATTCCTATGGGAAATGGTGTTTCACAGAACGATGTTTCACAGAACTGTGTTTTTTTGGAACCAATTAACATCGTTGTGCGAGGCACCACTGTATATGCTTTGGCTTAGTTTTAGCTGAAAATATGGACTGAAATATTATGTCAAAGGCTTTATGTTAGGGGTGGTTTGTGTGTTGAGGTTTGAAGTAAATTCAGTAGTGAGAAAAAGGGACATGAGCATCAGATGCTAACAGAGGGGGACATAGGCAGCCATTACCCAAAGTGGTAACACAGTGCAGTTGTGACAATATAGTAAGACTGAATTTTCATGGAGATGGAAAAGTAGCTAAGAGGGTTAGGTTCTTCAGGAGCTGCAATCCATTAGAAATTTGATAGTTTCCTAGAGCAGGGGTCCCCAATTCCTGGTTTGCTCATGCGCATACACCTGCGCAAGCACCCCCGAGCTCCATGCCCCTTCACGCATGCATATGAGTGCGCCCCCCCGTGTGAGCACCCCTTCATGCATGCACCCAAGTGCCTGAGGTGCCCCACCTTCCCCGCACATGGATCCTGGCCTTCCCCCG